AATCTAATAATATAGGTTAGAAGTTAAAATTTAATCAGCAAAAGTGACAAATCATGTGTACGACACGATAGATTTCTTTACTTACAACTTTACTTCTACTTTAGAAAAATCAATCTCTGCATGACTCTTGATAAAGCCTCCACAGCCTTGCACTTCATTCGCAGTTGAATATGAGGTAAAACAAATTAAATTAACAAATAAAATTGGAAAATATACACGAAATGGCCCCATTGCTCAATTTTAGAACTGTTGAAAAAAAATCGATGCATCGAAAAGATCGATGTTTTGCTTCGATGCATCGAAAATTTTCCACCCGATGTGTAAATAGTCGATGTTTTTTGTAAACTGTAAAGGCCCGTTTACATACAACTTTGGCGTTGCGTTGGCGTTGGCGTCGCTTCGACAGCTGACTATGAATACATGTATTTATATGAAAGTCTCCATATAACCAAAGTTGGGCAACGCCAACGCCAACACAACGCAGAAAGATGGCCAACTCTCAACTTTTCGCGCGCGTCGTTCGTCAGCTGTTCTAAATAATCAAAATTATGTGATTTAATTTTAATTTTTAATCAAATGCGGGCAAGAAATATAGTTTTTAATGCAATTATTGATGTAAAAATTTTGATTTATCAGCCGCTAATATGTTAATTTAGTGACCAAAGTATTCTGTGCTAAGCGCTCATTGTAGCAAGCACGGGCGTTACGCGCGCCGCTGTCAAAGCGACGCCAGCGCCAACGCAACGCCAAAGTTGTATGTGGACGGGCCTTAACCTCTAGTACATCAAACCGCCAAATATCGCATTGTCTGCAATTCAAAGAAAACAAAATAAAGGTTTTTTCGGGCGAAAGTCAGAATAAGGCATATTAAAAGTTCAAAATATTCAGCCGTGCTCCCATTTCCACTTACTTTTGCGATTTGCATTTTTGTAAAAATCGTACGTTTTTATTTTTGGGTGCTCCTGAATTCGCACCTTTTTGTTATCGATAAGTTCCATTTTCCACATCGTTTCCAGCATTCTTAAAAGCCATCCCTTGAAGGTATGCAACAATTATCGCACATGTATCGTCCGCATCAAATCGTAATACGATGTTTCTACATTTCCACATTTCGTGATTTGAGAGCGTGTGTGAATCGGTAACAAAGTTCGCGGCAAGTAAATTTTTGACAAGTTTGAGGTGAATAAAATTTCAGTAGCCCATAGGGCTAGTGAAATTTTTGACAAATGCATAGAAAATTTTGACAATTGCAAAGATTGCTGCTGTGTGTAATTTTTCGTAAAATAAAAGGTTAAGTTGATGAACTGCAATCAATGATGGTAGATGTTTTCTTAAAATATTAATTTCACTCAATTTGTAATAGTTTATTGCGCATAAATCTGCGGTTATGAAAAATTTACTGCTGTCAAAAAAAGATTTCATTTCACACAGCAGATTGGCAAAACTGTCTCACCATAGTAAAAATATTATTCAACAGCTTTCCCCATAGAACTTTGCTACCGATTCACACACGCCCTGAAACCGCTAAAATGCCCCGATTTGCGAATATTGGAGCACGTAATTTTGCAATTTGAATATTTGTATGAAATTTTGCATATTTATTGATTCCTGCAAAATTGGGCCATGTAAAATTTAAATTAACACATCTAATGAAATTAATAAATTACTTAAAATAAATTTATTAACATCGTTTTACTTTAACATGAAATACTCAGCCCTAGTTTACTAAAATCTCAAAAATGTATATTCATTAAAAAAAACATACCTAAAAAGTAAGACCGAAATGGTATTTTAGCAATTGTTGCATAAATCACATAACACCGACAAATTAAACAATGAGATTCAATTTCATTTGGTAATTTTCCAAATCAAACCCCGTCCCGGCCTACATTTTGATTTAAGTTTTTTAGTTGTTATTGTTTCGTCTTTATCAGGCATTTCTAAACACATTTTTGACGTTGTTTTGAAATTTGGCGACATAAAATAATGTAATTAATATTTTATAGAATATGGAAATAATACACTGTGCGCCGTAAATTCCGTCAGCGTAAACCTCTAGTACATACCCGCTATTACATAATTGTCGCCAACTGTCTTTAGCTATGAGGTGCCATATTGAGGATAAAAAAGTGCCAGAATGTGCCAAATAGAAAAATAAAAGTGCCAAAAAAGGCGTCATCCTTAATCCTTAATCCTTCCCATTTAGCAATAAAATAAAAACTACATTTCTAAAACAAAAGTGCAATGCCAAAATAAGATAAACCAGTTGAATCATCTTTAGAAATCAAAAATTTTTAGTTGAGGAAAAGAAGTACACGCAAAAGATTTTACAAAAATGTATTGAAATATTACTATTTTTGAAAAGTGCCAAATTGAAAAATTAAGTGCCATTTGTTGTAAAAAAGGGCCAAAAATGGCACGGTTTGAGCCAAGTTGGCAGCCCTGCTCGCCACCTGTCAATCGACTTGCAACGTTAGCGCCTCTAAACAATACTACAATACAAATATATGTATGTACATATATTTAAGTAATTAGTGGCTCGGCAGCAGTCGCACACAATGCGCGAAGAGGTTTTCTTTCCGACGTCTAGTCATAGTTAAAGAGACGGTGGCATATGCATTAAACACTAATGATTTTTACTTGGTGCTTTCCATACATGTACATATATATGTATGTATTTTCATGCAGGCGTCTGCCATTTGTTTCTATTTCTGTCCTGCAAAAAATTGTGCGACTAAAGGGCTGATTACCCTGCAGTGAAAAGCCAAACCAGTTAGAAAAAATACTAGTTCATTAACTATTATGTGCCTACCAGTTCGACAATTTCGAAGAACTTAGGCGATCAGCGACATCTGCCTTTGAATTGCCAAAGCCAAAAATAAAACGCAATTAATTGCTTTTCTTACAAATGTCGGCTGTGGCGTCACGTGAAGACTACTGGTTCTGGTTCTGAAATCGCAGGTTCGAGGCCGCTTGGAGGTGGTTAAGATTTTTAAAGTTAAATAAATGTAAGTAAAAATAATTTATTCAATTTATAAATAAATAACAAATTTGAAAATCTAATTGCATTGCGAAAAAAGATTTAGGAAGAAATATAAAAACAAAGAAATTAAACAAAAATATTTTTTTTATTAAATTTAAAAATTACAATAAACAGCATAAACAAAAAAATAAATTTATAAAAAAATAAAAATAAAATAAAAAATAGAAAATAAAAAAAGTTTCCCTGCGCCAGGATTTGAACCTGGGACCTCAGGCTAACCATGCGAGTGCTCTTCTCTGTCGGCCATTGTGACTGCTGGAGCGTCGCGAGCAAAAAGGCAC